GGAGCTGGAACTCTTTGTCTAGTAGAGTTACAGCGACCCTACCGGGATAACGGTGGAAGTCACAGATCTCACGGCGCTCAATTCAGCCTGGTCACACGTGCAGCCATCGACACACAGCTCTGACAACATTTGTAAGTGACCATCTGTAACATTAAATGAGTAAGGCACTCTACTAAACATTTTGCGTCCTAATTTGCATTTGTTTCCCCAGCGTGTCAACTGAGGCCTAGCGTATTTTAGATGTCCATTAAATAAAGTTTGAACAAATACGTGCTTTACAATCATGTAAAATGGTTCATGCCACCCTTATTTACAGCTGTGCATACAGTATTATATATCAGGAGCATAGGAGTTGAGCTCAGCTCAACTACTCTAGCCTATGGTCTGACTTGCCTGCCTATATTGTCCCAGAGGAAGAAAAACCTGAGATGTGTAAAATTTGCTCGGCAATATCATTTTTCTAGTCAAATCTTGGTTCCCCGGCCATCATCACTTAACCATCATAAAAGAGGCAAAAATCTATCTTGCTGGATGAGTAGATTTACATATCTGTGGTGGTTGTGAGCAAGAGCTCTAGAATAAAGACACAGCTGGATTCAGGGAGTCCTGCATTACTTAAATGTACTAGAGAGTATTACCAACTCTTTCTCGGGAAGTCTCCATTACAACAATAAGGGGAAATTAAGCTATCCATTGCACATGTATTCATTTCCTTACAAAGCCAAGTAAGGAGTACTAAGAAAGTGTTTAATAAGGAGTATCAACTCAGGGTGGGATATTAAGAAAGGCTTATCTAAAGAAAGGACATTAAGACTGAGAATTGAAGAAGAAGCTGAAAGGGAGGCGAGAACACTGAGCAGAGTAAATTGTGTGCAAAGGCACATAAGAAACTTGGTTCTTTCCAAGAATTGAAAGAAGCTGGCTCCAGGTGAGGGGGTAGAATTTCAGACCTGTTGAGATTTTAATCCTAAGAACAATGGAAAATCATTGAGGAGTTTTAAGCAGCAGAGTGACAGAACAGGATCAGTTACATGTGTTCCTGAGCTTATTCTGCCTGGCTTTGTGGAAAGTAAATTGGAGCAGTGACTTGGGGGCAAAGGCTATTGCAGGTATTTAGACAAGTGAGTGGTCAGACTGGCTTGGAGTCCAGTGTGTTGGCCCCAGAAGGACCAATCACATTCGAAAACATTTTAGGGGGCAAAATCAAGAAGTGGTGTCTGATTGTTGACTCCCTGAAATTGCTGGACTCCCAAAAAACTCTTAGACTAATGGCAAAAGAAGAGGTCCTAAATTGTTTTGAAAAGGATTGGATATTCATTCCAAGGACCATAAAAGTCACTATGGGAAAATATGGATTTTTAAAGACTTGCTTTAGTTATGATATGATTTCATCTGCTAGTTCTACATTTCAGAATATACTAAAGCACATTCTGATGCTGAACATTCATAGGTACTGATGTAGCCCTACTTCCAGATTTTCAATATAAGCAAATAAGGGGAATGTGTCACTATTTATGTAAATGGAGGCCACTGAGGGGGAGCAGAAGAGGCTGGAAGTAGATAGATGGGGTACAGAAGACATGAGTTCAGTTTTGAACACACAAGACATCAAAGTGGAGGCAAAAAGCTGCTTGCATCACAGAAGCCAGGAAGCAGAGAGAGAAAGGAGGAGTCGGGGAGAGATACATCCTCCAGATCACTCCCTAAGTGACCTACCTCTAACCAGACCCCACCTCCTATTAGCAAATCAGCTATATCACCGCCTTCCCCTATGAGCTCCCCTCCCCTATGAGCACATGAGGCTCTTGGGGACATCTAGATATAAACCATGGCAGATGATATCTACATACTATTAATATATATGATTTAGAATTATGTCATGGGTGTAGCTATGATATAGACCTACATGGTACATATCCTATAATATATGACAATAATATTGTCCACCGCAGAAGGTTGTTGTAATGCATGTGAAACTTATAGCACTCAATAGTTTGAGCTATTATTAATGAGTTGGCTAGGCTAATTATATTAGTCAGCAAGACCCAGGCTATGTTACAATGCAAGTGCCCAAATCTCAGTGATTTAACACAAAGGAAGAAGTTTCTTTGTCATTCACAATACATGTCCAGTGTGAGGAGCAGGAAATGAAAAGTTTCAAGCCAATAATGACATGTTTCTCCTCAAAACCCACTAACCAGATCCGGTGTTATAGGCCGGTATGTACTACTGGGGGACCGGAAGTAAGGGAAAGTCCTTGGACCCTTCCACCACATTCCCGCAGTCAGAAGGCTTCAGCCCATAGAGTCACTCCATCGTGTTGGAGAAGGCAGGGTGCTCCGAGGTACAGTTTTCCTTACGACTCAGTGCAGTTTTGCTCTTTTGATGCCCGCTGCATGCCTGGCCAAACACCCAGATATTCCTCAGGAAATCATGTTGATACACTGAAGTTGTCTTGTGTCCTATGACATGTTTAAGTCTTGGCGGTTTCCTCTATTAATCCTACTTGTTATTCATTTCTGGAGCATTTTGTCTTAACTAACAATAGAGAGGCACGTATGAACAAGGAAGACGTGATGGATTATGCTTCCTAGCTGACTTCATTTCTTTCATGTCAGCATTCATAAAAACCTCCAGGGTTTGCATTTTGAGCTGTATTAAAATGCACTGTCATCATTGTTTTATTTATGTTTGGAATCAGATAAACAGGTGTCTGCTCTCTGAAAATTCCAAAGTTCGGCCGGAGATTTAGCTCAGTGGCTCCGCATCTCCCTCACAAGCACAATGTCCTGAGTTTGATCCCCAGTACATAAAAAAACAATTCTTAAGTATCATGAAAATTCCAATGTCAAATCCTGAAAATACCCAAGTTTACAAAACAGGCTCTACTGGCTTCTTTGATTTATGATTTTTTTTTTTTAGTGATGTTTCTAGGATATAGGAGCTGAGGACTCACAGATCCAAAGCCAGAGAGTTTTACTTACATAAATAAAAGAAGCAGGCCAGGGATTTATCTCAGTGGAGCCACCACCTGCCTCACAAGAGGAGGGTCCTGAGTTCGCTCTCCAGTAACAAAAAAAAAAAAAATTAGCAGAAGGCAGATAACAAAAAAAAAAAAAAATTAGCAGAAGGCAGATGGATCTATAGTGCTACTACTCTGGAAAATAAAATTTGGCACATTTGTTAATTTTTAAATTATTTGACCCAGTATTTTAAGGCCCCTAATTTGTATACAAATCACCTAAGGACCTTGGTAAAAGTGAGATTCTTGACCAGGTGTCGTGGTGTACACCTGTATTCCCAGAACTCTGGGAGAATGAGGCAAGAGGCTCAGAAGTCCGAGAGCTTGTCTCAGAAGTTTGAGAACTTATTTCAAAATAAAAAGTGAAAAAGGATTAGGGATGTTGCTCAGTGCAAACACTGTGGTTTCAATCCCTAGTACCAGAAAAAAAGTCACATTCTTATTCTGCAGATGGAGAGTAGATCTAAGGAATCTGCACTTTTAAAATGTTCTCAGCTGCTGCTACTGATTCATAGATTACATTTTGGGTAATCTATGAAATGAAAGGCACAAGAACCAGTCTATAAAAGCAAGAAAAGGGCCAATAAATGTGATTATAGATAATTAATGAATTAAGGATTAAGAATATATATATGATACAATAAATCAATAAAAGTAAAACAATAAGAAATAAAACATGAGCAAAGAATGTAACCTTTATAGACATACAAATCCAAATGACAGACAAATTTATAAAAAGATAATCCAATGTTTCTCAGCCTATTGGTTAAGATCAAGTGTGAAGTGATAATCCAACCATTTTAGATTATGGAAATGCAAAGTAAGTAATAATGAGATCAACATGTTAAAGACTAGCATTGAACATAATAATATTAATCACTTGAAGTAGTATTACATGTTTATACAAAAGGTACCATCACAGGAAGATTGTAGGTGAAATTAGCATAACTACATTAGAGAACAATTTGCCGAAACTAAATAAAAATAAAAAGGTAACTTGTGTCCAAACAGACATATGCAAGGATGCTCATTGTAGCATTATCCTAGAAAAACAGTGTAGACAACCTGCTATGGTTTTGATAAGGGACCTCTAAAGGCCCATGTGTTAAAAGACTTGATCGCCAGTGGCAGTACCCTTGAGAGATAGTAAAACATTTCCCCACAATGAATGTAATCCTTATATACTGCAGACAAGTACTACTAAACATAATATTTTTTTTAAAAAGATGCAGGGCTTAGTGGGAGGAAGTGAGGTCACTGGGTGTGTGCCCTTG